GATCCCAAGAACAAACAACTAGAAGCAGCATGTAGATACAAGAATGGCTAAACGCCATTTCTCTATGGTAAAAGTGGATGGAGAGCTTTATAATCTTCATGATGATGCTTATGTTAATGGTGAGGAAGGTAAAGACAATTATATTTGTAAAATCGTTGAGATGTTTGAAGATTTAGATGGAATGTGTTATTTCACGGCTCAATGGTTCTACCGAGCTAAGGACACTGTTATTAAATCACTTGACAAGTTCATTGAGAGCAAGCGTGTTTTCTTATCCGAAGTTAAGGATGATAATCTCATCGATTGCCTTATTCGAATGTTGAATATAGTTTGCTTTCCTCCCAATGAGAATATCAAGTCTATAGAAAGGATTCCACTTGAGTGTGACTTTTAGTGTGATATGATGTATCATGTACCTTATTCAACATTTATAAGCTTTCCACATGCTGAAGCTGTCAGAGAATTGAATTCGATTATGTCCAGTGAAAGTAGCACCGCAGAAATAAAAGAACATGTATACGAAAACACTCTCCTTGATTTGTATTCTTGCTGTGGTGCGATGTCCACTAGTTTGTGTCTTGGAGCTGCGAACTATGGTGTTAAGCTTGTAACAAAATGGGCAGTGATTTTCAATAGAGAAGCATGTGATAGCTTGAGATGGAATCATCCAGAGACGCAGGTCCGAAATGAAGCTGCTCAGGATTTCTTGTGACTTTTCAAGGAATGGGAACACCTTTGTGTCTCTTGCTCTCTGATAACAAGCAACTCAACACCACATCCTTGCTTGAGTATTTGTATTGAAGAAGAAGAAGAAGGGACTGCAAGTGATACAGACAATGAAGTATATGAAGTTGAACAAGTATTAGAAGTTTGCTTTGGGGATCCAAAGAAAACTGGAAAGTCTGGATTGCACTTCAAGATACGTTGGAAAGGTTATGGCGAAGCTGATGACACATGGGAACCCATTGAGGGTCTGAGTGGTTGTGAGCAGAAAATGAAGGAGTTCATTGAGAATGGGTTTAAA